ATAATTCTTGTTGCATCCCTTCAAAATTTGCTTTTTTGAAATTTGTAACCAAAATATCACCCATTAAAACACCCATAATTATAACTTCATTAACAGCTGAAATCTTATTATCATTGTAAAGTTTCTCACTAATTTCATCAGTATCATTTGGTGGTCTCTAACAAATTCCAATTAAAAGCCTTTTCCTTTTATATCCACTAATAGAAACCCAAATGGATTCAGTCTCCTTGCTATTATCTTTAATATCCTCAACTTCAACAGGATGTAACTCACATTTTACACATAGAGCCACTCCTCCTCCCCTATTAAATAGCATGTAACCCTGTATTTCAAAGAAATTTCTATTATCAATATCATCTGTGTTTAACCATGTTTCAGTTATTCCCATTATATCAAAATCCTTAAACAATGTAAGGTTTTCAATATTATAGGGAACAAGTAGCATTAAATAATGTAGTCCTTTGTGTATGATGGTTGTAGATAAATTAATGACAATTCTGTTTTGATTTTACGCCTTTCTAGCTAAGGTTCAAGAAGAGATAGAAAGAATATTTGAAATAGCTCGAACATTACAGCTTGTTGTGTTAGACTGTGATACAATAAACCACCCCTCCCAGCTTGCCAAGACGTCCTTAGCACCCATTATTGTCTATCTCAAAATATCTTCTCCAAAAGTAAGTGTGGAATATTTTTTATGCTAATTTTTGTATGTCCAGACATTTTCTTGTTCAATAGTGTGTATCACCAATGTTATTTGGTTTGATGTTTGGTAAATCCAAGCATTTTCTTGTTCAACAGTGTGTTTAATCAATATTATTAGTATATCAGGTAAATTCACAAAATTTATTTCTTAGCAGTATGATCGACTGGAAATATTGCTATATTTTGTATGTTCATACTTCTTCTGTTGATCCAGCCACATGTCCTATTTACATTATTAATATATTTTGTAAACTTACAAGATTTTTTTAGTTCAACAGAATGATTTTCTAACAGTGTACTACCATGTTTTTAAATGTAGAAAATGTTCTTTTGGATCAATAGCATGATCTATTACACTATTATAATGTTTTTTAAGTTCATATATGTACTGTATCCCAGTTTTTGCATCAATTAAGATGTTTATAAGTCCTCATCAATTTCTATAGATTTACAGCTAGTGTATTAATGACTCTGTTGTACAGCAAGTGTATTATCTATTTGTAAGTATTTATAACATAATTATTTGCTTTGAATATTAGTAAAATAGTATTATGTTTGTTTTGTGTCATAAATTTAATTTTCATTTATGAACTTTGTTCATTGTCTGAAATTGTGAAATGATTCACTTAGATGTTACAACTATTGTATTTTCTTTGCATATTTTTGGTGTATAAATCTAATTGTTTCTTAAATGATGACATTTGTATATTGATTGTTGTGTGTCTTGACAAAATGTGATTATGCATACTTTAGATCCTACAGTAGTTGTATGCTGTTTATCATAGGTCCTTCAGCGATTAATCAAATCTCGAGGAAAGTCTCAAAGTCGAAATCTAAATGTCCAAATGGTTGCAGCAGAAAAGTTAGCTCAATGTCCTCCTGTAAGTGTACAAGCTAGTTCCTTTTGTAGCTGTATATATTCTTTTTTAAAAGAAAAATACAGATCTTCCTGTAACTGTTTTTCTTGATTATTTAAGGGAAAGTAAACTCATTTTGTACCTATTTACCTTCTTTCTATTTCTTTAAGAAAAAGATAGTTTCACTTATAACTGTTCATATTCTATCTTTAATAAAAAGTTAATTCATCTTTTAATATTTCTTCTTAATCCTTAAATAAAAAGCTAGCTTCTCTTATAACTGTTCATCTTGTTTGTTAATAAAAAGTTAGCTCCTCTTGTAACTTGCAAAAGTTAGTTTATCCTCTGAACTTTAACAATTGTTAGTGTATACTGATTACACTATATACATAGATAAGTATTTTTTTCACTTCAACTTCACAATGATTTGGGTAAAATCACTAAGAATGAATATTCATACTGTTTTAGATTTCACAAACTCTGACATTTATAGAGCATTAATTTTTTTCAATTAAAAATAGCTTAATTAATCTTTTTAAAAGTTTTAATCCAGAAATACACATGAGAAATATTCTTAGATTACATCTTCAAAATGAATTAATACTACACATAAATTCTTTGACTTGGAATCTATCTTATTTAATTTTTACAAAACTCTCTCTCAAGGTTACAAAATTTTCTTATATAGATGAAACAAATAAGCAAAATCACAAATTTGAAATTCAACTTAAAAAGTTCTTCATCAACTACAGTAATTTTCTAAATTCTTTTCAAAAAGGGATTTTGAGGAGGGAAACAATTTTTACCACCAAGTAAAAAAAAAAAGAAAGAAATCTGATTAACTGAACATTTAACTTAAGTTCTTAACATCATTCCTCTGGCTCATGTTTCTGATTGGTATCCAAACCTATCCTTTATTATATTATTTGTTTTAGAATTGTTCATTTCTAAGATTTTTTAAAACCCTCATACTCTTATTTTTTGTGACTGTAAATTAGTTTTCTAAAATGTTTCATGTTACTTACTTTTGTAATTTTCATTTTGACGAACCATTTTAATGCTAAAAGAAGTGTTTGTCAGTGCACCATTTTATCTTTTGGTTTCAGAATGACCTTGTAAACAGTAGTTTTTAACATCATTATTCTGATGTCATGTGTTAATAAAATATATTGGTTAATACTTATAACCATGTATAGTTTCTTTATCTTGTACCATGTCTTTGTTCTCTAAGAAAGAGAAAACAAGTTTATGGTTCATTGTTTTGTAGAACTAAAATGAAAATAGTCAGATGTTGGAATAGTTATAGCTGCTGCATTTATTTCTGTAGGAAATGTTTGATGCAATACTTGATGAGAATCAGCTAGAAGAGGCATGTGAGCACCTGGGAGAAATACTGGAAGCCTATTGGAAAGCTCTACATCCAGTAGAGAAAGCACCTCCTCCAACTGTTCCTCGTCCTATTCCCTCCCCTCGGCTGGATCCAACTACAGGAAATACTGGTCTGATGAGACATAATTCTACTCCACCAATTCGATTCAGATCTCATGGTGACAGACCACGTACAAGAATTACAGATGAGGTATGATATTTAATACAGTCTGTGCTTCTCTTTGTGAAAAGATCACAGTCAGAATGGATATGGAAATTTATTTAGTAACTTGCAATTGCCCCCCAGTGGCATAGCGGTATGTCTGCAGACATACAATGCTAGAGTCAGGATTTCGATACCTGTGGTGGGCAGAACACAGATAGCCCATTGTGTAGCTTTATGCTTAATTACAAACAAACAAAACTTGCAGTCACTTCTTTATATTTGATTGATTCATGAAACTAAAGAACAACTTGCTGCACATTAATCTTAACTGAAGAAATTCTTACTGTCGCAACCCTTTCAGCATGAAGTGTGTACAAAAATGGTTTCCTGTTTTGAGATGCAAAGGGTCATTAGTATGTCAGTATCTGACTATAATCATTGGAAATATACAAATGAATTTTAAAAACCAATAGCTTATATTTCATAATAATTCATGCTAGATATTTTGCAAAATGCCAATTTTCATTCACATACTCAATTTTTTTAGCTTTTGTCTCCTGATATGGATCAACATGCCATGTTACCGAGGTCTCACGAGATGCAAGAACATCAGGATATAGCATCCCCCTCTGGAAGTCGCCCCCACCGAAGTGAGTATAACCGACCTTTGGACTGGCCAGATGACCATGACCCTTATTTGGACTTTGGACCGATGGACAAAATGCTCGTTATGGGAAAAGCACATAGCCCTCGGTCTGAGCAGGTCAAAAATGCAAAAGATTATGACTCTCAACACCAACAAGAGGAGTATGACAAGCAAGATCATCATAGAGAACAGAGACTTTCTGATTATCCAGTGAATGGGGTGTAGCATACTAGCAACATTTGGAACAAGATGCCCAGTGAAAGAGATGTCTCATTTATCCAGTAAACAAACAGCAAGTGCTATTATGGGTAGTATGAAACGTTGAGCTAAGTAATGTCTTATGTCCTGTTAAAATGTAGTACCAGCTCTATGGCTACTAACAGATCAAAAACATCTAATTATGTAGTAAACACTGTTTACCTTCTTAAACATACTAACAAACTGGTTACCATACTAGCACACTGATATATCAAATATTTATTAGATGTTTTTACTTTCCTTACAAAAACACACATGTACTAAATATGTGATAAAAATTCTCATTAACCTTATAAATACAAATATATAAGTACATATATTGTCTGTTAAATACCTTTAGTAGTCTTATAAATATTAAAAACACAGGTATAACAACACAGCTATACTAGTTATTTAAGGAACACTGTTAGTAATGTTTCACAAACTAACAAAATACAGTTATACAAGATATGTGGTAAACATTGTTACCACTATTGTACCCACTAAAGATACAGGTATACTTAAACATATAACAAACAGGTTTTTACACACTAAGTATACATGAATATACCAAATATTTGTTGTAACTTATCACCAGTTTTACACAAACTGACCTTCATGACTGGTATCTAGTAAAATAAGCTTTCACACACACACACACACACTAGCACAATGTAAAGCCATAAGATGTCTTTTAAAAATTGTCACCAGTTTCACAAACACTAAAAGAGCACATAGACTGTTATATATATTAATGATTTTGCCAGTCTCACATACACAAAGTACAGATATATGAGATATCTATTAAATATTGCGTATAGCCTTACACACAAACAAAAGAGAATTATACCAGATATTTAATATATTTCGTAACAAGCAAAATAACTGTAATAATTAATAATTCTGTTTCTTTCTAATTCTATTCAAGTCGTTTATTTATAATCTTAGTACCTTTAATGATAAGAAAATGTAGAATATGTGGTTAAGAAGAAATATTGGAAGGATCAAACAAGAGATGTTCCATCATCAATGAATATCATCAAGTGATGTTTTAATGCCATGCAACAAACATACAAATCTGTAATGTGGCATAACTTAGGAGTACAGAAGACTGACTTTATTATTTACATGTAGGTAATGGTCAAGTTGTGTGTATCAACATAAAATTGTGATAATTTGGTTTAATCATATGAGTTAAGAGATGAATTGAAAATTGGAATTGTCAGGTTTGTTTTTGCAACAGAAGTTTTCTAATTTTAAAACTGTTGAATTATGTAACATACAATATACACAAAGTGACTGGATTTGTTTGGTATGATATGAGGTTGTTATTTCAAAACAACAATTAAATATGGTTCTTTAGGACAATGACATTGTATATATTTTGTAAAATTGTCTTTCTATCACCTCTATGAGATATATTTGTATGTTCATGTCAGGATCCAGTATGAAGTAGCAGTGGAACAAAAGTTTATACATTTTCTTATGGAATTATACAATAGTTTATACAAGCTTACTTGTGAAGCTTGCATGATTGCTTCACGTTAGAATCACCACCTTCTTAATACAAATTAATCAGAGTCATTCTGGCAAAGCCCACAAGTAAGGAGCATACCATTGAAACCTTACAATAATCCTATGATTGGATAAGTTTGGCATGTTTAAAGTCACAGCTTCCATGTCCAGCTGTGTAGTAGATGATTTCTCATGTATATTTAGGCTCAGTAATTCTTTACTTCAGTTTTTGTAAATATATATATATATATACATATATTAGTGATTCACTTATTTCTCCATGTTGTGTGACATTGAAAACTTGTTTTCCTAGTAAGTTCTTAACCTGACAAGGAGAAGGCATGTGTGAAAAATGTCTAGATCAATGTCGGCTATTGGTATGTGCTCTTATAGGATATTTCAATTAAGACATGGCTGTTCACATGTAAAGTCATGTAATATATTATTTCAGAAGAGCTCACTCCATTGACTTTATGTGGTACTTTTCTGAATACTGACCTAGTAAGAAAATATTTATAAAATATCCATTGATATAGACTTACTTTTTTCAATGCTTATTTTTATTACATAGTAAAGAGAGCACTCTCATTAGAATAAAACATTGTACACTTTGTATAAACTGTTACAGTCATCACATGAACTATAGGTTCAAAGCTAGTCCTTGATAAGGACAATCAAAACCATGTTACTCAGTCTGTTCTTCAGGAACAGAAAATCACCTTCTTTAAATTAAGGTTTCTTCCTTATTGATTGGTAGTGATAAACTAAAAGAAACTATTATGGTCAGCAGCTTTAATGTGTACTGAATGTTGCATGATTTTTTTCAGTTTTATTATAGATCAGTTGTTTGTAAGGTTTGAATAAGATAACTTAGAGCAGAATGTTGCTTATTGTTTTGTCTGTGGTTATATCATTTTATATATAAATGTCTCTTACGAGATGAACTCGTGCTTTATAAAGTCAGCTTAACAAAATTCCAATATAGCTAGGTATAAATTTGAAACCATTTGATCTTCTACAACTTTTCCTCCATTATTTATCCTGGAAAAAACTTCTGTTCACATTAAATAACTTTATCCTTGTGTTCATTGTTCGCATTAAATAACTTCTTTAATATCTTATATTCATTGTTCACATTAGGGACATTCTTTTTTGTTTTGCTTATAGTCATTCATAACATTACTCCAGTGTCTTTGTACTCTTTAAATATGCATTGATACAATATTCATGGTGGAGGAGCATTTTAGGTACCTTTATATTCATTATTCATATTGTTAAAACTACTGTATCATAAAAAATATTAATTATTCACAGTTTCAAGTTTCTTCCGTATCCTTACATTTATTGTTTATGTTGTAAAACTGCTGCAGAGTCTTTATGTTTGTTATTCACAATGGAGAACTAACTCAGTATCATTATGTTCATTGTTTACATTGGAAACTTCTTTGAGTTCTTGTATTCACTATTCATTAGTCAACTACTCTGGTGACTTTACACTTATTTTTTCATTGGGGAAAATATTTTGTAATGTTGTATTAATTATTTTAATCTGAAAACTTCTTTACAATTATTATATCCATTGTTTATATTGATAAAAGTTTTAGGTATTCTTATAATTATTATTCACATTGGAAAAGTCCTTTGGTGTCCTTATATCCATTGTTCAAATTTAATACATTCTTTAGTATTTTCATATTAATTGTTCATTTTGAAGAACATCTTTATTATTCTTATAAAAACTACTTCAATATTCTCAAATTAAATGTTTACATTGGATAAGTTCTTTAATCTGGTTATATTATTTTTTTAAATTTGATGACTTCATAGATACTATATTCATGGTTCACAAAGAAAAGCTTTGTAGTATTCTATAAAACCACTACTCACATTGAAAGAAATACTTTGATATTGTTACACTAAATATTTTACACTGGCAAATTTCCTCAGTATCATTACATTCATTTTCTTGTATTGTTCAGATTGACATAGCTATAAATATTTACTGTTTGCCTTAGAAGAATCATTTATTTATTTATCCTTATATTTGGTGTTTACATGTAAGAATTCTCTGTATTTTTGTAAACATTTAAATACTTATTCAAGATTACAGTCATAAATTTTTCTTTTTAATCTAACCATCTGCACCATCAGTTTATTTCTTGACAGAGTTAAAACTTTTGCAGCACACTTGTACTGACTGTTTATGTTGGAACACTTGTTTGGCATCTTCACATTCAAAGAACTATTTTTTCATTGTTAACTTTAAATATATATTTTCATATTCTGATATCTGTTTGCAGTTTATTAAACTCTCTTAATGTCTCGATTTAGTTTGGAAGAAAATTTTTTGTTGCATTCAGTGTTAGAATAGAAAGAATTATTTTTTTTGTCCATATGTAAATCTATATTATTTATTCATTGCTCAAATTGTCAGAAAATTCTAAGATGGATTTATACTCACTGATCTAAGATAACTGCACAGTGTTTGTGTATCCTGAAATTCATTATTCACATTGGAATATCTTCATTGGCATCTTTGTACTATGTTTCACTCTTAAGAAGAACCTGTTTATCCTTATAATTATCATCACATAAATTATTCCGTTATCTTTGTGTGTAATGATCGTAGTTCAGGAAGAATTTGCATTAGAAGAATTAGTATTATTCTAACATCCAAATTCTGTTCACTTGTAGAGTATGTTTAATAATCATGTGAAGAAAACTGATTCCTTACCATTGAATACACCATTCACTTGAAAATATTTTCTGTATTTATGAACATTTGCTGCTTACACTGTTAAACACACACTCTGAACTGTGAGCTTCCCGTTATCTCTTTAAGAACTGACAATTCTCATGCTCTTCATCATATATTGCTGTATGACAAATATTTTTAAGAAAAAACCTTTCTGTCTCCATACACTTGCCTTTTAAAAGACAAATACACTTCAGTACAACCCATTTCTTCATTGCTAAAAATGTATTTTTTACTCATATTTCATGTTATGTGAAACCCACTTTTCTCTGCAAGGATATTAGTATGTTTGACTATACTCACAGCTTAATTATTAAAATTTTGGACAATATTATATCATTATTATTAAGGATGGATAACAGTTTGTTCCTGATATGCACATTGTAGGAAAGGGGAGAGAGTTTAGTGGGCTTATAGAATGACTTATGAAAGTGATTCCTGATTTTAGTTTAGAATGTTAACACACACTGTCAGTAGTGTTATGGTTGTTGCATGTTTGTACAGTATAATTTTTTACAATCATGAGAAATATGTTGGTTTACAGTTTGGTACATAAACATAGAAGTGGGTTTGTAGAATACGTTGCAAACACTGGAGTCTTACAGATTTCCAGAATTACACAAACAAATATAATAATAACAACCTCTAAATCCAGAATGTGCCCATGTACCTTTTCGTACTTAATATTTCGATTTAAACATTCCTCAGGAGCGATAGCCCATTACGCCATAACTACGGATAAGTACACTATTAAACTAAAGTTTGGACCAAACTACAACAATCAAGCCTAATCAAGCACAGTTTCTCATTCCATAAAGGCACGTATCTTATTAACAGTAAAATCTAACATTCTTGAACTGATATTGTATTAACAAAGCATATTAACAATAACGAATGAATAATACTTGTATATCAACAAGTAAACTGGTAAAATCATACGATTAATAAATGTTTTACTTTAAACTCTGCATAATAAACAAATACAGGCATATAGAAATATATACCCGGCCAGATATTCGGCTCCGGCCGGGTATTGGGCTACCCGGTAATACTCGGCTCCGGCGGAGTGTCGAAGCTAGGCATCTAAGCCCTAATCTTTGTAGCAACTAACGTGGTACAGTCAATAATTGGTTTAGTTATAAAAAGAAAAAAAAAGTGTTCCGAGCAACAAAAACAGACCGCCCGCTGAAAGTCGGGGGATTCAATAAACAATAGGGGTTTGAGAAGTTGGGGCTAGGCATTTAATGTTGAAAGTAAAACTTGAATGTTCTGTTGGTGATTATTGGGTTAAATGTAATAAACGTCAATTTTGTTTTTGTTTCTAATTTTTGTGTATGTTTTTTGGTGTGTTTTTTTTGGGGGGGGCAAGAGGAGAACCCGGTTCCGACCGAAGCTTAGTGACCGGGTATCCGGACCCTGTATTCGGCCAAATTTGACTACCCGTGCATCCTTAATATATATAGTAATAATATACAATCATATATCAATATATACATACAGTAATACCAGTGTCTATAATAACATTTAAGAATTCATGGTGACACAAAATTCAAACATCCCATTCACTTAGATTTAGAAACACAATCGACATCCCTACACTAACTTGGTGTCTAAGTTAATAAAGGTCAACCTTTATATTTATTAATTTTAGGATTGTCCTTCTGAATTAAAATTAATTCTGTAATTTTACGATCTAGATCCTAAAGTCAGAGATGTTTTCCTTTTGCACTATCTCATGTTCTTCAATGCAAGTTAAGAACTAGCGTTATTTTTAATTAAACTTTGAAGTCCCTCGCGTGTTCTCATATTCTGTCGTGACGTCCGCTACTTAGTCCTACATGCGTAAATTATCATTTCCCACAGATGGCTTGATATACAAAATATTATTATATTAAGACACCTATTAATCATATGATTTTACAGTTTATCCGTTCATATAGATGTATTATTTATTTATTACAGTTAATATGCATCGTTTAAACAATCTGTAATTCAAGAATATCATTTAAACAACTTTGTGC